ATCTGAGCGGTGGACATGGACATCAAGGCAAGGAAACAAGGAATTAGATTACCATTCACCTTTAAACTTAATGGAAGGGGCAAGATTATTAAGAGCTTCAAGAAAAGGTTGGAAGAGACTGGAGTCATGAGGCCACAGAGCAAAGATGTCATCCACTTTCTACAAAAAAATACTACTCACCTCCCTTCCTATATTAAGACTACACATATTTTAAGGTAAATAATGAGTGTACTGTATGTGTATTTTACCTCTCTGGGATGTTTTAAATATCGTATATTAAGTATGAGACGGGGAGCCAGGGCTACCTACACCTGGGCTACCTGCACATGACTTCCTACAAATAAGTACTACTCACCTCTCTCCCTACATTAAGATTACAAATACTTTAAGATAAGTAATGAATTTACTGTGAATGTATTTTACTTTGTGTGTTTTTAATGCCTAGTTCTATTACTAACTTAATATAATTTAGTGTAAACTTGTTGTCTGGCATTTATATGCATTTATAAATGGAAAAAATGGCGTTCTGCCTTCCGGCGATGTCTGCTTTCCGGCGACAGCCTGGAACCTAACCCGCCGTATAAGTGGGGCCCTACTGTATGTTTATTCTATTAGTCTTTCTCGTGACTGTCCATAAAAATAGTTTAAAGTAATATTATGAAATTTTTGAAGAAAAAAAAAAAAATCAAATGGTGCTACACTTTTGTTATCACATAAGCCAAAAGTGCACAGTGACAACCTGCTCGGTCAAAAAAATATATGTACAACTGAGTTCAAGTAAATGCACTAATTCTTTAATGTTCTCAAAGGATAAATATAACATCCCATCAAACTTTCAATAGAATTAACAAACTGAGATATATAAAGAACAATAACAAGAGAAACCTTTGTTTCATTAGGAAACAATAAGAGAGTAAGCTTGAAGCTTATCACATCAGACATTTTTAAGTTAATGCAAAGAAATCAATGGAAGAAAAATATACTGGGGAACCTTGGCAACCTTCTTCAACTTCTGACTCCCCATGCAGAAATTTTTATTAGAGCAACAATTAAGAACTCACCTTATGTAGCAGTACAAACTGTCCTGAGTAAGGAGTGAGGATACTCACCTTGTGTAGAAGGAAGAACTGTCCTGAGTAAGGAGTGAGGATATTCACCTTGTGTAGAAGGACGAACTGTCCTGAGTATAGAGTGAGGATATTCACCTTGTGTAGAAGGAAGAACTGTCCCGAGTAAGGAGTGAGGATACTCACCTTGTGCAGAAGGACGAACTGTCCTGAATAAATACTGAGGATACTCACCTTGTGTAGAAGGACGAACTGTCCTGAGTATGGAGTTTACCTGGAGTTTACCTGGAGAGAGTTCTGGGGGTCAACGCCCCCATGGCCCGGTCTGTGACCAGGCCTCCTGGTGGATCAGAGCCTGATCAACCAGGCCTCCTGGTGGATCAGAGCCTGATCAACCAGGCTCTTACTGCTGGCTGCACGCAAACCAACGTACGAGCCACAGCCCGGCTGGTCAGGTACCAACTTTAGGTGCTTGTCCAGTGCCTGCTTTAAGACTGCCAGGGGTCTATTGGTAATCCCCCTTATGTGTGCTGGGAGGCAGCTGAACAGTCTCGGGCCCCTGACACTTATTGTATGGTCTCTTAACGTGCTAGTGACACCCCTGCTTTTCATTGGGGGGATGTTGCATTGTCTGCCAAGTCTTTTGCTTTCATAGGGAGTGATTTTCGTGTGCAAGTTCGGTACTAGTCCCTCTAGGATTTTCCAGGTGTATATAATCATGTATCTCTCTCATCTACGTTCCAGGGAATACAGGTTCAGGAACTTCAAGCGCTCCCAGTAATTGAGGTATTTTATCTCCGTTATGCGTGCCGTGAAGGTTCTCTGTACATTTTCTAGGTCAGCAATTTCACCTGCCTTGAAAGGTACTGTTAGTGTGCAGCAATATTCCAGCCAAGACAGAACAAGTGACCTGAAGAGTGTCATCATGGGCTTGGCATCCCTAGTTTTGAAGGTTCTCATTATCCATCCTGTCATTTTTCTAGCAGCTGCGATTGATACAATGTTATGGTCCTTGAAGGTGAGATCCTCCGACATGATCACTCCCAGGTCTTTGACGTTGGGGTTTCGCTCTATTTTGTGGCCGGAATTTGTTTTGTACTCTGATGAAGTTTTAATTTCCTCGTGTTTACCATATCTGAGTAATTGAAATTTCTCATCGTTGAACTTCATATTGTTTTCTGCAGCCCACTGAAAGATTTGGTTGATGTCCGCCTGGAGCCTTGCAGTGTCTGCAATGGAAGACATTGTCATGCAGATTCGGGTGTCATCTGCAAAGGAAGACACGGTGCTGTGGCTGACATCCTTGTCTATGGCAGATATGAGGATGAGAAACAAGATGGGAGTGAGTACTGTGCCTTGTGGAACAGAGCTTTTCACCATAGCTGCCTCGGACTTTACTCTGTTGACTACTACTCTTTGTGTTCTGTTTGTGAGGAAATTGTAGATCCATCTACCAACTTTTCCTGTTATTCCTTTAGCACACATTTTGTGCGCTATTACGCCATGGTCACACTTGTCGAAGGCTTTTGCAAAGTCTGTATATATTACATCTGCATTCTTTTTGTCTTCTAGTGCATCTAGGACCTTGTCCTAGTGATCCAATAGTTGAGACAGACAGGAGCAACCTGTTCTAAACCCATGCTGCCCTGGGTTGTGTAATTGATGGGTTTCTAGATGGGTGGCAATCTTGCTTCATAGGACCCTTTCAAAGATTTTCATGATATGGGATGTTAGTGCTATCCGTCTCTAGTTCTTTGCTATTGCTTTACTGCCCCCTTTGTGGAGTGGGGCTATGTCTGTTGTTTTTAGTAACTGTGGGACAACCCCCGTGTCCATGCTCCCTCTCCATTGGATGGTAAAAGCTCGTGATAGGGGCTTCTTGCAGTTCTTGATGAACACGGAGTTCCATGAGTCTGGCCCTGGGGCAAAGTGCATGGGCATGTCATTTATCGCCTGTTCGAAGTCATTTGGCATCAGGATAACATCAAATAGGCTTGTGTTAACCAAATTCTGTGGCTCTCTCATAAAAAAATTCATTTTGATCTTCGACTCTCAGTCTGGTTAGTGGCTTGCTAAAAACTGAGTCATATTGGGACCTGAGTAGCTCACTCATTTCCTTGCTGTCATCTGTGTAGGACCCATCTTGTTTAAGTAGGGGCCCAATACTGGACGTTGTTCTCGACTTTGATTTGGCATAGGAAAAGAAATACTTTGGGTTTCTTTCGATTTCATTTATGGCTTTTAGTTCTTCCCACGATTCCTGACTCCTATAAGATTCCTTTAGCTTAAGTTTGATGTTTGCTATTTCTCTGGTCAGTGATTCCCTACATATTTCAGATATACTGGCCTCTTTAACCGCTATGTTATTCTTTTCCGTCGCCTGTAAAGGGAGTGCCTATCTCTTTCTATTTTACATCTACTCCTCCTTTTTCTTAGAGGAATAAGCCTTGCGCATACATCGAGTGCCACCGAGTTAATCTGTTCTAGGTATAAGTTGGGGTCTGTGTTGCTTAGTCTATCTTCCCAGCTTATATCGGTTAGGACTTGGTTTACTTGGTCCCACTTCATGTTTTTGTTATTGAAGTTGAATTTAGTGAATGCTCCCTCTTGACTAATCTCATTATGTCGGTCTGGGGCTCCACGCATACATGTCTGAACCTCGATTATGTTGTGATCTGAGTATATTGTTTTTGATATGGTGACATTGCATATCAGATCATCATTGTTAGTGACGATGAGGTCTAGTGTATTCTCCAGTCTAGTAGGCTCTATTATTTGCTGGTTTAAATTGAATTTTTTTCATTTGTTCAGAGATTTAAAAGCTCGTGTGTGTGTGAGTTCTCGTCAGAGCTGCTTCCTGGTGTTATCACTGCAGATACTCACCTAGTGAAGAAGGACGAACTGTCCTGAGTAAGAAGTGAGGATACTCACCTAGTGTAGGACAAAATGTCCTGAGCAAGGAGTGAGGATACTCACCCAGTGCAGAAGGAAGAACTGTCCTGAGTAAGGAGTGAGGATACTCACCTTGTGTAGAAGGAAGAACTGTCCTGAGTAAGGAGTGAGGATACTCACCTTGTGTAGAAGGAAGAACTGTCCTGAGTAAGGAGTGAGGATACTCACCTTGTAGAAGGGCGAACTGTCCTGAGCAAGGAGTGAGGATACTCACCTAGTAGTAGAAGGACGAACTGTCCTGAGTAAGGAGTGAGGATACTCACCTAGTGTAGAAGGACAAACTGTCCTGAGTAAGGAGTGAGGATACTCACCTAGTGTAAAAGGAAGAACTGTCCTGAGTAAGGAGTGAGGATACTCACCTAGTGTAGAAGGACGAACTGTCCTGAGCAAGGAGTGAGGATACTCACCTAGTGTAGAAGGAAGAACTGTCCTGAGTAAGGAGTGAGGATACTCTCCTTGCATAGAAGGACAAACTGTCCTGGGTAAGGAGTGAGGATACTCACCTTGTGTAGAAGGAAGAACTGTCCCAAATAAGGAGTGAGGATACTCACCTTGTGTAGAAGGAAGAACTGTCCTGAATAAGGAGTGAGGATACTCACCTTGCATAGAAGGAAGAACTGTCCTGAGCAAGGAGTGAGGATACTCACCTAGTAGTAGAAGGACGAACTGTCCTGAGTAAGGAGTGAGGATACTCACCTAGTGTAGAAGGACAAACTGTCCTGAGTAAGGAGTGAGGATACTCACCTAGTGTAGAAGGACGAACTGTCCTGAGCAAGGAGTGAGGATACTCACCTAGTGTAGAAGGAAGAACTGTCCTGAGTAAAGAGTGAGGATATACTCACCTTGCTTAGAAAGAAGAACTGTCTGAATAAGGAGTGAGGATATACTCACCTTGTGTAGAAGGAAGAACTGTAAGGAGTGAGGATACTCACCTTGCATAGAGGGAAGAACTGTCTGAATAAGAAGTGAGGATATACTCACCTTGCGTAGAAGGAAGAACTGTCTGAATAAGGAGTGAGGATATACTCACCTTGCGTAGAAGGAAGAACTGTCCTGAGTAAGGAGTGAGGATAGTAATGTCATCCTCTGAATAACCTTGCAAAATAAGATGTCTACACAGTGCTATGATAAATTTAGCTTCATACTGGTTTTCATGGCTGTTGTTGTCATCAGAGTCCTGGGAAAAGAAAATACAGAATTACAGTACCATATATAACACAAATTAGGGTAAACTAATGTACATTCCAGTAAGAGATTCTAAAGTAAACACAGAACACTAAGACACACAGACAGACAGACAGACAGACAGACAGACAGACAGACAGACAGACAGACACAGACACAGACACAGACACACACACACACACACACACACACACACACACACACACACACACACACACACACACACACACACACACACTGACGACACTGGAGGACAGAAGGGTCAGGGGAGACATGATAACGACATACAAGATACTGCGGGGAATAGATAAGGTGGACAGAGATAGGATGTTCCATTGAGGGGACACAGGAACAAGGGGTCACAACTGGAAGCTGAAGACTCAGACAAGTCACAGAGACGTTAGGAAGTATTTCTTCAGTCATAGAGTCATCAGGAAGTGGAATAGCCTAGCAAGTGAAGTAGTGGAGGCAGGAACCATACATAGTTTTAAGAAGAGGTATGATAAAGCTCAGGAAGCAGAGAGAGAGAGAGAGGACCTAGTAGCAATCAGTGAAGAGGCAGGGCCAGGAGCTGAGTCTCGACCCCTGCAACCACAATTAGGTGAGTACACACACACACACACACACACACACACACACACACACACACACACACACACACACACACACACACACACACACACACACACACACACACACACTGACGACACTGGAGGACAGGAGAGTCAGGGGAGACATGATAACGACATATAAAATACTGCGCGGAATAGACAAGGTGGACAAAGACGGGATGTTCCAGAGAAGGGACACAGACACAAGAGGTCACAATTGGAAGTTGAAGACTCAGATGAATCAAAGGGATGTTAGGAAGTATTTCTTCAGTCATAGAGTAGTCAGGCCGTGGAATAGCCTAGAAAGTGACGTAGTGGAGGCGGGAACCATACATAGTTTTAAGGCGAGGTATGATAGAGCTCATGGGGCAGGGAGAGAGAGGACCTAGTAGCAATCAGCGAAGAGGCAGGGCCAGGAGCTGCGAATCGACCCCTGCAACCACAAATAGGTGAGTACAAATAGGTGAGTACACACACACACACACACACACAGCCTTCAAGAGGCACCACAATACACTAACACAATTATAAATATAAGAAATCATATTTGGTTTTGAAGGCTCAAAATGATTCACAAGGGTTTGCATTTTTTGTACTTTAAGTATAACAATAATTGCAGACTTAAATTAAGTGGAAAAGAAGGAAAAAATGGATGTGAATATACACTGCATTATTAATATTTAGCTTATATGACACTCAAATTTTCATAATTATTAATTAGGTAGTAGGTTGGTAGACAACAACCACCCAGGGAGGTACTACCATCCTGTGGTAGTAGGTTGGTAGACAACAACCACCCAGGGAGGTACTACCATCCTGTGGCAGTAGGTTGGTAGACAACAACCACCCAGGGAGGTACAACCATCCTGTGGTAGTAGGTTGGTAGACAACAACCACCCAGGGAGGTACTACCATCCTGTGGCAGTAGGTTGGTAGACAACAACCACCCAGGGAGGTACAACCATCCTGTGGCAGTAGGTTGGTAGACAACAACCACCCAGGGAGGTACTACCCTCCTGTGGTAGTAGGTTAGTAGACAACAACCACCCAGGGAGGTACTAGCCTCCTGTGGTAGTAGGTTGGTAGACAGCAACCACCCAGGGAAGTACTACCATCCAGTGGTAGTCTATTACCTGGAGTTTACCTGGAGAGAGTTCTGGGGGTCAATGCCCCCACAGCCTGGTCGGTGACCAGGCCTCCTGGTGAATCAGAGCCTGATCAACGAGGCTGTTACTGCTGGCTCCACTCAATCAAATGTACGAGCCACAGCCCGGCTGGTCAGGTACCGACTTTAGGTGCTTGTCCAGTGTCAGCTTGAAGACTGCCAGGGGTCTATTGGTGATCCCTCTTATGTATGCTGGGAGGCAGTTGAACAGTCTCGGGCCCCTGACACTTATTGTATTGTCTCTTAACGTGCTAGTGACACTCCTGCTTTTCATTGGGGGATGTTGTATCGTCTGCCAAGTCTTTTGCTTTCATTGCGAGTGATTTTCATGTGCAAGTTTGGTACTAGTCCCTCTAGGATTTTCCAGGTGTATATAATCATGTATCTCTCCCACCTGTGTTCCAGGGAATACAGGTTTAGGAACTTCAAGTGCTCCCAGTAATTGAGATGTTTTATCTCTGTTATGCATGCAGTGAAGGTTCTCTGTACATTTTCTAGGTCAGCAATTTCATCTGCCTTGAAAGGTGCTATTAGTGTGCAGCAATATTCCAGCCTAGATAGAACAAGCGACCTGAAGAGTGTCATCATGGGCTTGGCATCCCTAGTTTTGAAGGTTCTCATTATCCATCCTGTCATTTTTCTAGCAGCTGCGATTGATACAATGTTATGGTCCTTGAAGGTGAGATCCTCCGACATGATCACTCCCAGGTCTTTGACGTCGGGGCTTCGCTCTATTTTGTGGCCGGAATTTGTTTTGTACTCTGAAGTTTTAATTTCCTCGTGTTTACCATATCGGAGTAATTGAAATTTCTCATCGTTGAACTTCGTATTGTTTTCTGCAGCCCATTGAAAGATTTGGTTGATGTCCGCCTGGAGCCTTGCAGTGTCTGCAATGGAAGACAATGTCATGCAGATTCGGGTGTCATCTGCAAAGGAAGACATGGTGCTGTGGTTGACATCCTTGTCTATGTCGGATATGAGGATGAGAAACAAGATGGGAGCGAGTACTGTGCCTTGTGGAACAGAGCTTTTCACCGTAGCCGCCTTGGACTTTACTCTGTTGACTACTACTCTGTGTTCTGTTTGTGAGGAAATTATAGATCCATCTACCAGCTTTTCCTGTTATTCCTTAAGCACGCATTTTGAGCGCTATTACGCCATGGTGACACTTGTCGAAGGCTTTTGCAAAGTCTGTATATATTACATCTGCATTCTTTTTGTCTTCTAGTGCATCTAGGACCTTGTCCTAGTGATCCAATAGTTGAGACAGACAGGGGCGACCTGCTCTAAACCCATGTTGCCCTTGGGTGTGTAATTGATGGGTTTCTAGATGGGTGGCGATCTTGCTTCTTAGGACCCTTTCAAAGATTTTTATGATATGGGATATTAGTGCTATTGGTCTGTAGTTCTTTGCTATTGCTTTACTGCCCCCTTTGTGGAGTGGGGCTATGTCTGTTGTTTTTAGTAACTGTGGGACGACCCCCGTGTCCATGCTCCCTCTCCATAGGATGGTAAAAGCTTGTGATAGGGGCTTCTTGCAGTTCTTGATGAACACGGAGTTCCATGAGTCTGGCCCTGGGGCAGAGTGCATGGGCATGTCATTTATCGCCTGTTCAAAGCCATTTGGCATCAGGATAACATCAGATAGGCTTGTGTTAACCAAGTTCTGTGTCTCTCTCATAAAAAATTCATTTTAATCTTCGACTCTCAGTCTGGTTAGCGGCTTGCTAAAAACTGAGTCATATTGGGACTTGAGTAGCTCACTCATTTCCTTGCTGTCATCTGTGTAGGACCCACCTTGTTTAAGTAGGGGCCCAATACTGGACATTGTTCTCGACTTTGATTTGGCATAGGAAAACAAATACTTTGGGTTTCTTTCTATTTCATTTATGGCTTTTAGTTCTTCCCGCGATTCCTGACTCCTATAAGATTCTTTTAGCTTAAGTTCGATGTTTGCTATTTCTCTGATCAGTGACTCCCTATGCATTTCAGAGATACAGTAGACCCTCGAGTTTCGGCAGCCTCGACTTTCATGAAATTCGACCTTTGGCAAGTTTTTTTGGCAAAATTTGGCCTCAAGTTTCGTGATTAGACTCGTGTTTCGGCAACCATCCAGTACCCGTCCGCCCGTCACCGCGCACACCAAGCCAGTCTCCCATGCCATTCACGCTCAGTGTGCCATTGTTTACCAACACGTGACCATCACCCCGCGGGTTCATACAATACGTTTCATAATAGTCCATTCTTTTTTGTGCTTGCAACTGCTAAATAAGTCATCATGGACCCAAGGAAAGCTAGTGCAAGCCCTTTGGTAAATAAAGTGAGGAACACGATCCAGAGTGATTTTGAAGGGTTTGAGGTAGACCCTGTCCCTGCCGACCCTCTGTCTGTTGTGGAAGGTGTTGTGGCATTGGGCAAGTCAATGGGGTTGGAGGTGAGTGACATGGATGTGGAAGAGTTGGTGGAGGACCACAGGGAAGAGCTAACCATTGACGAGCTGCAAGAGCTTCAACTCGAACAGCATCAGACCACAGCCGAGGAACTTGCTTCAGAGGAGGAGGAAGAGGGAGTGGATGAGGTGCCTTCTTCAAATATTAAGGAGATTTGTGCAAAGTGGAATGAGTTGCAAAGTTTTGTTGAAAAATATCACCCTGACCAAGCTGAAACAAGCCGTATCTGCAACATATACAATGACAGTGTTGTGTCCCACCTCAGGAAAATCTTAAAGAAATGCCAGAAAAAGACCTCTCTGGACAGATATTTTGTGCAACAGGGGTCCAGTGACTCTCAAGTTGTTCACAGTGGCATTAAAAGAAGAAGGGAAGTAACCCCAGACAAGGACTTGCTACCTAAAGTCCTAATGGAAGGAGATTCTCCTTCCGAACAATAGTGAACACCTTCCTCCTATCACCTCCTCCCATCTTCCATCCACCCAGAAGTCTTCAGTAAAGGTAAGTGTAATGTTATTATTTTTTATATGCATGTACAGTGGACCCCCGGTTCACGATATTAATCCGTTCCTGATAGCTCATCGTAAACCAAAATTATCGGAAAGCGAATCAATATTCCCCATAAGAAATAATGGAAATCAAATTAATCCGTGCAAGACACCCAAAAGTATGATTTTTTTTTTACCACGTGATATATTAAGTTTAATGCAATATAATAATTACAATAAAATAATAACAATAGAATAATCACAACAGAATAATTGAC